AATATGCCCAGTGTTAGCGATGAAATATTTGTCCATACTTGGCGCAAGAGTAAATGCATAATCACCCTGACTATTCTCACGACAAACGCATCAGTTATTTGTCTTCTAAGCAAATATTTACAATGTTTAACAAAAAAAAATGTCATGTCAGAATTACATTTGTAAAATAGTTATTTTTTTTTATCCAAATTTATCTTTTCACCTAGAGTAGTTATTTGCAGTTCCAGGATATCGAGCTCTATCCTCTAAGTGATAACAGACAGCCTTAAAACGGTTTTTTTGTCTCGGTGAGACTGCAGTTTTGATGCTAAGTGAATCTGATCAATTGCCATAGAACCCGCTCAGCTTTCTGTTTGCAATGGGAGCATTTCTTCGTGTTTTTAATGACCTGTCTGATTAGGAAGGATTCCGTGACTTCAAAGAGACATCTTCCGCTTCTTTTGTGATACTGGTCAAATAGAGTAAATATGAAGAATACAAGAACCCCGTGCTCGATAGTACATAAGGAAGTACATTGTAGAGCCATTTTTTATTTCATCTATTCCTGTCTTGAGATTTCGTCCATCACTGTGTGGAGATTAAATCAATAGCTATGTTGGAGATAACATTGAGAATACGCTGCCGTCCATGTCGGTCTTGGACATGAACTAGAAAAAGTTTCTGTTGGAATCAAGCTCAGTTTTTAGTCCTTGACTTCCGAAGTTAGTCCATCAAGGTAGGTCCCGTGTACCAGGAAATTGTGACGAGTGAGCTAAGAGGTGCCTATCGAGTTATTTTCCCCTTGTTGTGGGTTTGCTTCTTTGCTACTCAAGAAGGCAAATGGTCCCAGCCCCCTTCTCATCACAAAGGGACGTCCTACGGAGAGAAATAATCAATTAAAATTATGTCACGGTTAAGATACGAAGACCCTCAACTGTCCATTAACGATCATCCTACAGGCCCGTCAACACCTCTGAAATTGTTTTTGACCATTGTTTTTGACTATTGTTTTTGAACGAAATGTGTTATTCATTGTGTATGTTTAAAGATTACAACACATTAGAACTATTCTATTGATTTCAAAATGAAAGGAAAGATTTAGAAGGTCTGAGATTAGATACCTAACAGGTGACTCAAATTCATGCTTACAGCCACGCGTGTTGCATGTGTTCCACATTTCTCTTTTTTCAACGAACGACCACGAAATTTACTGTAACAAAAATCACGGAATTATAGAAAGGGTAAAATTTTGTGAAGTGCGATTACAGCCACTTTCTTTTACTAAACGTTTCGCATTCCGCATTGTTTTTTTAAGTTGTGTGTCCCTTCGCCTTTTGGACCACACGCTTTGGACAGGAAGAGATAGGTGTCTTCAAGGACGAGACCATTGTTCAACACCTTTCATTATCCTACGGCCGAACTAAAAGCTTTCCATCTCTCTCATTCTACCAAAACATTAAATTACGTTGTCACAAATTTTGTGAAAAGCTTATTCGCTATTCACAGCGAAATCAGAGCGGAAGTTGGTTCTCTGGAGGAAGTACTTGACAAAAGAAAACTTCCTTTGTTGTTTTATTTTGTACTTTCGGCATGGCTTGTTCAAAACTGTTGTGTTGAAAGTGTTGAAGCGAAAAATTCTGCCTTCTATCCTAGTCACACGAGTTTTTAGTGAAGCTACCAGCCCACCTTCCTCAAAATCAAACACGCGGCGCAAAACCACGTTGAAGGCACAAGAGTAGAAGAGTTACTTAATATTTTTTCTTGGCATGCTTTGGAATGAAAAAACCAAAACCAACAATCAAGAGAGCCCTTTCTAGCTTTTTGCTTCGCTTGACAGCCATAGATGAACAGCATAACGAACACTGGTTTTACTATAACGAAAATCACGGAATTATAGAAAGGGTAAAATTTTGTGACGCACGATTACAGCCACTTTCTTTTACTAAACGTTTCGCATTCCGCATTGTTTTTTTAAGTTATGTGTCCCTTCGCCTTTTTGATCACACACTTTGGACAGGAAGAGATAAGTGTCTTCAAGGGCGAGACCATTGTTCAACACCTTTCATTATCCTACGGCCGAACTAAAAGCTTTCCATCTCTCTCATTCTACCTAAACATTAAATTACGTTGTCACAAATTTTGTGAAAAGCTTATTACCGTAGTTATTCGGTTATAAGGCGCACTCGGCTATAAGACGCACCCCCAATTCGGCAACTTCATTATTGCATGTTTTCAAACTGAGAAAATCGCTAAAATACTTGGTTATAAGGCGCACCGTTGTTTGGGGAGTAAAGATCGGTCAAGTTTATTGTAAATTCTTTCATAAACTTACAAAAAAGCGAAAAAGTCGCGTATTGATTATAGTTTACCGTCAATCAACAAAAGCAGAATTGTCGCACACGCGACCACGCACACAAACAAAAGCCTTGATTAAACAAGATGTACCGCCGAGAATGCAGGTCTCAGAGCACTAAAAAGGCTGAAAGGATGAAGAAGGTATTTACCTCTTCGCTTGTTAATTTTCGTTTCGTTTTGTGACGTATCAAATTACTAAGCACGTGCTCTCGAGCACGTATCACATCTATGCAAATTTGACTTCGCTTGTCTTTTCAGAACCACCATATTCATAAAAGTCAATGTGTGTGTCATTTTATTTGCTTGAAATTGTACCAGTAACTGTGATTAAAAAAAATTGTTTCGGGAAAATATTCGCCTCTAAGACGCACCCAAACTTTGGCGGTAATTTTTAGTAGAAATTAGGAATTTCTTGAAAAAAACGGTGCGTTATAACCGAATAACTACGGTAGCTATTCACAGCGAAATCAGAGCGGGAGTTGGTTCTCTGGAGAAAGTACTTGACAAAAGAAAACTTCCTTTGTTGTTTTATTTTGTACTTTCGGCATGGCTTGTTCAAAACTGTTGTGTTGAAAGTGTTGAAGCGAAAAATTCTGCCTTCTATCCTAGTCACACGAGTTTTTAGTGAAGCTACCAGCCCACCTTCCTCAAAATCAAACACGCGGCGCAAAACCACGTTGAAGGCACAAGAGTAGAGGAGTTACTTAATATTTTTTCTTGACATGCTTTGGAATGAAAAAACCAAAATCAACAATCAAGAGAGCCCTTTCTAGCTTTTTGCTTCGCTTGACAGCCATAAATGAGCAGCATAACAAACACTGGTTTCAAGTTAAAATTGAGAATGTTACTAAATTCAGAATGCACAGAATCCATGCAAGGATATTAGACGGCTCCGGAACTAGGACTCGTGGCCTTCTATCTTAGTCTGATATTAAGCATATTAGCAATTTCCATTGAAACCTCCCCGACCTTGCTAGGCTGCACTAATAAACAAATTTGCCGTGCCTTTCACCTGGAAGAATTTTAGGCTATGTAAAGAGACCCGCAGACTCCTTACGGATATTGCGAAGAGACAATACGTAAAAGTTGATTCTTTTTATGTGTTTCTCGGAATATATCAAGAGAAGAGACCACATTCGAGTTTAGAGGTGAGATCAATGTCTTTATTAAAAAAAACAATGAGTATGGTGAGTTCATTGTCATTCTCTGGTGTACGAAATCACAACGTGAGCAGCGAGGCAACGGATCCCTTCTACCGGGGGCGCACAGGTACCTAACGGTGTTTCCACTCACCACCAAAAAGCAACCGATCAGATTAAAGCTGTTTTTGGCCCATCTGTCGTTGTCTTGATCATGACATTGGCCACCGGAACTGTCGACGTGCTCTCTGACCACATACTGTAGAGAGCAGAAAGCACCTATCTAGAAAAATCTCGACAGTTGGGTCTAAATGGTGACAGTTCAAATAACCACTTCCTGAAAGGATAACTAACAGGTCTGTTCTTTCTTAACGGCTACGTTGACAAACAGGATCGGCGACAGGAAATCAGCATTGTTGAAACAAGAAAACAAAAATCAAATCACACCTCGGGCACGGGTTCTTTTTCATTTGCAGATTCGCCCAAATTCCGAAAGCCGGTAATACGTTACTAAGTTCTTAGTAAAACTGCTATCAGCGAAACTGCAGTATGATAGCAATTGACTCGACCTTTACTGCAGGAAGTTAATTTATTTCTTTGCCTTTCGTCTCACTTAAGAGGTAAAGACAACTATGTCTTTATAAATTTCGTATGATTTTAGCGTTTTTCTTCAGTATATTAATTGGGTCATGTAAATGGGCCTAAATTAAGCCGTGTCCTTCGCGTGAAATCGACTCCACATTGGAATTGATTCAACAGAAAACGGAACTTTGGATATGGAACGGCTTTTTCTGTCGCTAAACACACAAAAGCATTTTAAAAATGTCAAGAAGACAAGCCATGCACGGATCCCCCCCAAAAACTCACTGTTTCTATTCTAACCGGATGGAAGACCACCTCAAAATTCTTTGAACTTTCCGCGTCCTGAACTTTGAATTTCGTTTTTTCATACATCCGAGATTCATCTACGTTTTCACTTTTCCTCACTTTATGAAAATTGGAATTCGAATCTTCGTTTGTAGTGAAAAGAAATTGCAAATTTGGATTTTGATTCTCTATGAAATTGCTAATATACTCGATCTGTTACCTTGAATGGCTATGCCTCTCGTGTGATTCTGGACTGCATCAGCAAGGAAGTTAAATGAAAATGTCAGGTGTTGTTCAGCCACATTAATTTTCCCTGAATGAAATAGTTATTCCCTCTAAAACAGTTATCACTAAGGCTTTAAGGGTTGTTACAACCACATCACTAAAAATTCAGATGCCGGACCACGTCGACATTGGCTTAAACATGTCACTTAAAATACCTATTTCGTATTATGGAGTGAAGCCAGTAAACCTGATTGAAGGGACGCTCATTTACTCTACCGTCATTGAATAATTTCTTCCTCCGTTCCCTTGTTTTTAAACTATATAATTCATAGCACTCTAATTTTCTATAGAATGAACAGCTTCCTTAAGCTCTAGCGTGATGGAAAGTCATTGTGTGTGTGATTGGAAACACATTACGGGCGACAAGGCCTGTCATCATGATGAGAGTTTGCCACTAGACAGGCATTTCGCCTCCCAAATTTCATTCAAAGCCTTTTGTAATACATGTACACAATGTTCTTCAAGTTCTGCCGTGCAAGGATCATCTAACGCTTGAAAAATTAAAGAAAGGATTGCAAACAACTTTCTAGTACAATTTAGACGGTGGGATGGCTTACGTGCGATTTCACAGGCGTTCTCAAACTTCCTCGCCTTGAAATGTTCGCAAAGACTGCTTCGGACATTGGGTTTGTTGTTGTTGGAACCTTCCAACAAGCTTGATTCAAATCCCATTATTCCACACTCGCCACCATTCGCACAGTATTGCATTTGGGGGTGAGATGAGCTATTGGTGGCTTCCAGGGGAGCTCTGATCATAACCTGTGAATCATGCGACAGCGCAATAAAAGCAGACCGGCTGGGCTCAGTTTGTTCAGTCGCCAATGGCTGACTTACGGAAAACAGTTGGCGATTGTAGGTTTCAATGCTTTTCACCAAACCAGAGGATCTTTGGACAAAGGGAGATCGAGGAATTGCATCACCCAACCAATGAATTGCACCAAGAGGTTTTGCCTGTGATTGGTCTCCAACCAAATGCTTCTCGTAGCCTAAACGACATGATTGTAATGCAGGCATGGGTTGGTCTTGTCGATGATTCCAATCATCCTGTATCGCATTCGCATGGGTGTCCTGAAATAAAGTAATATTGTCGATACTTCCATCTGCAGGCTGCTCCAACACTCCAAGACTTTGAAGGTCCTGCCACCATAGTTCCATATTGTCCTCTGTGTCCGAAGCACTGTGAGACCTACGTTTGCGGTTAGCTCCTCTGTGGTCTGTATCTGTTTTCATTTTCCCAACTTTGGAGTTGATGCACATAGGAAGAGGACAGTCCCTTTCTGAACATGGATGACCGGCTGGATGACTGAGATCTTCTTGCATGGATTTTGCAGCCATAATTTCAGGAGAAACTCGCTGGCGAGAAGAAAAGAAGTTATTTCGACTTGTGAGTTGTTTCGAGACGTTACCTTACGACAATTACACCACATGTTTACCTTTGGTATATGAATTTTAATTAGAACACTCTGTTTGACTGATTGACTCTTCTTCTCAAGGTGAAACTGCTTTAGGGTTAGGGTTCTGAATTCTTCGAGACGGAAAATAACACCAAAGATGTATTAATCACTAGTTTTGAAAACTGAATCTTATGATGTTTACTAGAGGCTTGCTGAAGTTCCCGATAAGATTGTGAAAGAAAACATAAAATCACCACCAATTCTCAAAGCCATGTGACCCAAGCCATTTCTAGAATCCCATCCGCTAAGCTTAACTTCAAGTTCAACTACATCACGCAGTTATATAAAACACTAACGAGAAATGGTCATATTCTGCCCATTCAGGAACACATGGTGAACTCAGGCGACAAATTTGCGACATAATCACTGTCGTGGACTGTGTGTACTAAAATGGGCTGAAGTATCTCTATATGCGTGTCCAAAATATCAGAGAGAAACAAATCTAACGTAACACAGGTTATCTTAGGTAACTTAACCCCTGACATTACGAGTTGCCGGTTCTTTGTGATACAACTCTCTCGGCTTCATAGCTTGAGCATGTCTGTTTCCCGTAAGGGGGGCGACGCCTGATAAAAAGTCAAGCCATAATGTATTTCAGAATCGCAAAATCATGGACAGCAAAGTGATTTAAAAATACTTAAGAAAGATGCCTCAGAATGTAGCTTGTACTCCACAAAGAACTGTTCATCGCTTTGAAGTGCTATCATTTCCAAATTATTATTGCGGAATCACAAATACCTTTCAAGGCAATTTTTCTATCATGAGCTTATCTAGAAACTGAGATCAAATTTCTCCGGAAGATTTTTAAATATTGCATCATTTTGTGATGATTTTTACAACGGCCGAATATTTCCTTTTTCGGCGAAGTAATCATTTCCTCTTTTCCCGACACTGAACAAGACAAAATCTTGGCAATTAGGCAAAGGACAAGAAAGGAAGTAGTATATGTTTCTGCTTGTTTCTGTTTATTGCCATCATCCACGAGAGCCCTCGGAAAAAACAGGGAACTAGATAAATAATTCACTGATTGAATTATGTGCAAAGTACTGGTTCATTCCAACAAATATTAATCAATCAAAAGAGACTTTTACAAGTTGATTGTAAGACAGCGCATCGATTAAAATGAAAATAGAAAGGTGAGTTTATTCCGATTGACGCACCCTGGCTAATAAAAAAGGGTTAAGCTGTAACAAAAATCTCTATGATGATGACGAGAGAAAGAGTAAAACGAATGACCAGTTTAGACCGTCTCCTGTGGAAAATTTGATTTGACGTCATCCTAATTTGCAGGCAGCTTAAACATAAGTTAATATAAAATAGGCTCGATAGATTCGTTGTACTTTATTAAGGACAACCTTACCATACACCTACCTCACAGTCCTCAACAGCAGTGACTCTGTTTCTTATCCTTGCTAATTTGGCAAAGGAGTTAAAAAGTGCTAAAGAGTAGAAAATGTTCCGTTCTTATATATAGCAGCCTGAGTAGTGTGAGGGGGCGTGAGGAAGTATCAATTTGTACTTGATTTTAAGTCGATATAAATCACTTTAATTTTCCCTGGAGATGATTTTGGGTTAGCTTAACACTTCCATAGTTAAACAAAAACATTTTTAAGAGGCGTAGGTGGAGTAAAGTCTCAATTCCTGTCAATCAATCCCTGTTTGTTTTGGATTCACATTTCGGATTATTTAGCATTGTAAATCGACCATACTTCAAACTATTCCTTGAAGTGTATTAAGTAAATGGTTCCTCGCGTAACGCTTCCATGGATAATGCGGGTCCAATAATTAATCCTTCGTCTTTCTCGAGACTTGAGCTTGGGAAAACTATGTTCAAACTCTCTAATTGCAAGCGCAACGACAGGAAAGAAATTGTGTCCCTGCACGCGATGGAATTCGGCTTGATGTTTGTTTCTATACACTTCTACTAATGGAAAGTCGTAAAACCGACTCACCACTTGACCTCTCAGGGCCGATTAGCACTCTACTTTCTACATAAAGTATCACTCTGATTCAAACATTGTCGCAACGAGAATCGAGAAGATGATCAGTAACTACTGAAGTTCTTGATTGCCAAATAATTATCCATGTCAGGACTATAGGAATGTAAAGAGAACGGCATGGAGAATATGTTTTCTAATGCGAGGGTGCAAAGAGTTATCGATGATCTCAGTGATCATACTTATAGAGATTACTTCATGGAAAATGCGCGCGTACGATTTTTATTCACGAGTTGTGTAGTATCAGAAAACGAACGAGTGAGCGCAGCACAGATCGAGTATATTAGCAATTTCATAGAGAATCAAAATCCAAATTTGCAATTTCTTTTCACTACAAAAGAAGATTCGAATTCCAATTTTCCTTAAGTGAGGAAAAGTGAAAACGTAGATGGATCTCGGATGTATGAAAAAACGAAATTCAAAGTTCAGGACGCGGAAAGTTCAAAGAATTTTGAGGTGGTCTTCCATCCGGTTAAAATAGAAACTGTGAGTTTTTGGGGGGGATCCGTGCATGGCTTGTCTTCTTGACATTTTTAAAATGCTTTTGTGTGTTTAGCGACAGAAAAAGCCGTTCCATATCCAAAGTTCCGTTTTCTGTTGAATCAATTTCAATGTGGAATCGATTTCACGCGAAAGACACGGCTTAATTTAGGCCCATTTACATGACCCAATTAACATACTGAAGAAAAACGCTAAAATCATGCGAAATTTATAAAGACATAGTTGTCTTTACCTCTTAAGTGAGACGAAAGGCAAAGAAATAAATTAACTTCCTGCAGTAAAGGTCGAGTCAATTGCTATCATACTGCAGTTTCGCTGATAGCAGTTTTACTAAGAACTCAGTCACGTATTACCGGCTTTCGGAATTTGGGCGAATCTGCAAATGAAAAAGAACCTGTGCCCGAGGTGTGATTTGATTTTTGTTTTCTTGTTTCAACAATGTTGATTTGCTGTCGCTGATCCTGTTTGTCAACGTAGCCGTTAAGAAAGAATAGACCTGTTAGTTATCCTTTCAGGAAGTGGTTATTTGAACTGTCACCATTTAGACCCAACTGTCGAGATTTTTCTAGATAGGTGCTTTCTGCTCTCTACAGTATGTGGTCAGAGAGCACGTCGACAGTTCCTGTGGCCAATGTCATGATCAAGACAACGACAGATGGGCTAAAAACAGCTTTAATCTGATCGGTTGCTTTTTGGTGGTGAGTGGAAACACCGTTAGGTGCTTGTGCGCCGCCGGTAGAAGGGATCCGTTGCCTCGCTGCTCACGTTGTGATTTCGTACACCAGAGAATGACAATGAACTCACCATACTCATTGTTTTTTTTATAAAGACATTGATCTCACCTCTAAACTCGAATGTGGTCTCTTCTCTTGATATATTCCGAGAAACACATAAAAAGAATCAACTTTTATGTATTGTCTCTTCGCAATATCCGTACGGAGTCTGCGGATCTCTTTTTACATAGCCCTAAAATTCTTCCAGGCGAAAGGCACGGCAAATTTGTTTATTAGTGCAGTCTAGCAAGGTCGGGGAGGTTTCAATGGAAATTGCTAATATGCTTAATATCAGACTAAGATAGAAGGCAGAATTTTTCGCTTCAACACTTTCAACACAACAGTTTTGAACAAGTCATGCCGAAAGTACAAAATAAAACAACAAAGGAAGTTTTCTTTTGGCAAGTATTTCCTCCAGAGAAACAACGCCCGCTCTGATTTCGCTGTGAATAGCGAATAAGCTTTTCACAAAATTTGTGACAACGTAATTTAATGTTTAGGTAGAATGAGAGAGATGGAAAGCTTTTAGTTCGGTCGTAGGATAATGAAAGGTGTTGAACAATGGTCTCGTCCTTGAAGACACCTATCTCTTCCTGTCCAAAGCGTGTGGTCCAAGAGGCGAAGGGACACACAATTTAAAAAAACAATGCGGAATGCGAAACGTTTAGTAAAAGAAAGTGGCTGTAATCGCACTTCACAAAATTTTACCCTTTCTATAATTCCGTGATTTTTGTCACAGTAAATTTCGTGGTCGTTCGTTGAAAAAAGAGAAATGTGGAACACATGCAACACGCGTGGCTGTAAGCATGAATTTGAGTCACCTGTTAGGTATCTAATCTCAGACCTTCTAAATCTTTCCTTTCATTTTGAAATCAATAAAATAGTTCTAATGTGTTGTAATCTTTAAACATACACAATGAATAACACATTTCGTTCAAAAACAATAGTCAAAAACAATGGTCAAAAACAATTTCAGAGGTGTTGACGGGCCTGTAGGATGATCGTTAATGGACAGATGAGGGTCTTCGTATCTTAACCGTGACATAATTTTAATTGATTATTTCTCTCCATAGGACGTCCCTTTGTGATGAGAAGGGGGCTGGGACCATTTGCCTTCTTGAGTAGCAAAGAAGCAAACCCACAACAAGGGGAAAATAACTCGATAGGCACCTCTTAGCTCACTCGTCACAATTTCCTGGTACACGGGACCTACCTTGATGGACTAACTTCGGAAGTCAAGGACTAAAAACTGAGCTTGATTCCAACAGAAACTTTTTCTAGTTCATGTCCAAGACCGACATGGACGGCAGCGTATTCTCAATGTTATCTCCAACATAGCTATTGATTTAATCTCCACACAGTGATGGACGAAATCTCAAGACAGGAATAGATGAAATAAAAAATGGCTCCACAATGTATTTCCTTATGTACTATCGAGCACGGGGTTCTTGTATTCTTCATATTTACTCTATTTGACCAGTATCACAAAAGAAGCTGAAGATGTCTCTTTGAAGTCACGGAATCCTTCCTAATCAGACAGGTCATTAAAAACACGAAGAAATGCTCCCATTGCAAACAGAAAGCTGAGAGGGTTCTTTGGCAATTGATCACATTCACTTAGAATCAAAACTGCAGTCTCACCAAGACAACAAAGCCGTTTCAGGGCTGTCTGTTATCACTAAGAGGATAGAGAAAACGGAGCTCGTGATCCTGGAATTTCAAATAATTACACTAGGTGAAAAGATAAATTTGGATAAAAATAACTATTTTGCAAATGTGATTCTGACAGAGATTACTTCATGGAAAATGCGCGCGTACGATTTTTATTCACGAGTTGTGTAGTATCAGAAAACGAACGAGTGAGCGCAGCGAACGAGTGAGGGTTTTTTCTCGCGTTTTCTTATCCAGTGCAGTTCAAAGGAAACTGAACTGGACATTGGGAAATAAACAATACTACTCCCACGCTGTCCAGAATTTATGAATGGATTTTAAAATTGGAAATTAGTGGATGTTATTTGCATTCACAGATAGGAAAGGGCGTGGGGTATTTCTAAAAGTAACTTCAATTACACAAACAGTCTTGCTGCTATTAATAACTCATCAGTCTTCCTCTTTTGGTTAACGGGTCAGAAATGAAAATTACCTTCACTGTCATAGAAGGGAAATGCTCTGGGAGTGTTATTTATGTTTGTTCATCGACTTACTTATTTTTATTTTTTTTAATTGAATTGACAATGTAGAATATAGAATGGACTATTTTATATTTCGGAAGACACCTCTGATTCTCTTTGAGAGAACAGATTTAAGTTTGTTGGAGGATTTCAACAAATGATGAAGTCCCAATGCGGAAATATTTTCATGTGTAAGTTATTTTGTAATTCGGATATCGCCCAGATTCGGCTTATGTGATTAACAGGACGTGCGTAATTTGGAAATTCATATGCTTCCTTCAGTCTTCAACCGTCACGCGAAGTCTAGCATTCGTGCCACTCAAAGCGGTAGCCAAACCAAAAATTAATTTCCTTCGGTTTCCTTTCCAGAGCTAAGTTTTCAACTCAAGGTTAACTTGCGTGTAGAAAAATCAAATTCTATTGGAATTCTCTTTTATTTCCTGTAATGGCTTAAGCTTGCGATATGGCTGTACCTTTCTGAAATGATTCGTATCCATTATTTTGTTTAAAAAGGTGTTATTTAAAGATTGATCTCTACATGTTACTACATATCAAGATAACAAATCATTGTCTATAACCTCATTGATCATAGAAATAACGTCACCAATATTCGATACTAAAGTGAATCCACGAGCATTGAAATTCTGTTGCCAGCCAAGTAAGGAAAACCCAGCGTTACCAAATTTTGTAATTTCAAGAGATTACAATCTCTTGGTAATTTTTATGACCGGTAACCTTTTATTTCATACGTACCAAGATTTACACATGGAAAAAGAGCCTGCGCACGTGGTACACAACCAACCAATCAGAAAAGCAAACGACGGTGAAAATGCATCGTTCGTGCAATCAGTCACTCGAACGATATTATTCTTCAAAATGGAGGGCAACAAGCGCTCGCCTTTCCGTAAAAACAAAAGGAAGGGAGAAGTTCCAAGTTTTGCTTTCCTTGAAGGAACCATAGATTACGTCATTTTGGTGGTGTTTATAATAAAATTTGCTCTTGCAATTAAACAGCATCCAATCTTTGAAATGTGTTGGTCGGAAAGAAAAAATCTCAGTATGCGTGAAATGAAAACATTATATCATGTAAAGTGCGCCCGAACGATTTTTTATTCACTCGTTACCATGCATCAAAAAACTCTTTTTTTATGCACCGCGACTCGTGAATAAAAATCGTTCGTGCGTACTTTCTATGGAGTAATCTCTATCCACTGAATGATAATAGGCTGAATTACGCACGCATTTTGATGGATTCTTACTCATAATCTATTGAAGGATAGACGTCTAGATGACGTCGCCATTTACATTTTTTGCTTCTCTATCATGAAAGAACAAATAGACTCCATGTTGCATTGGGTCTGGTCAGTAATGGAACCAAATGTGAATCTTGACGTCATCAATGATTAATTACTGTACAGGCGCACAGCAACATGGGATATATTTGTAAAATTGACAAAAGCTCTCGATCTATGAGCGCGCGCGAGAATTGTTACAGCTATTGTGAACAGAACTTTAAGGAATAGACTTCACTTCAACTTTAGTTAACACGCAAACAACTGGTAAGGAAAGGACTTTATTTTGTGTGGGTCTGTGACTACACAAAGAACTTCATTTGGTCTTTCACGAAAAAATGCTCAGACCATGATGGTTTTGCGCACTTTTGTCGCTCAAAGTAGTTTAAAAAACTTATTTAAAAAGGAAACGTCTACAGTGTTAATTAAATCCTTAAAAGAAAATAAAGTTTGACAGACGTTCTCGGACGAATCTCTCCAGAGCATTACGTCTTGATTAAATCGCTCCTCATAAATCGCATATTCTAAATTCATATTTCTTTAAGTTTAATGTCCCTCGTTCTTATAATTTCACATCGAAATCACCAACCGCAGATTCAAGCTTAGGGACCTCATGGATCAAACAAGAATGCTACCGGAAGTTCAACTACAGCCCACTTCCAAACCACTTCCCCTGTTCTGACATCACATTTCTGTACCAGGCCCCTATGAGAGTACCTCACTGCATGGCAGAAGTGCTTACAATTAGGACACACGGCCTTGGTCAGGAATCGAGGAAAACGATTTGGGTTGTCATCTTGTGCCCAGCTCCAGGGGCACTTTGAGTATCCTAGCAGCTGCAAAGTGACTTCACGAGTACTCCGCCTTGGAATCCCAACGGACGGCTGCGGTGAAGCTGAAGGTTTCTCGACAAACATGAAATTTCGGCGTAGACGTTTCAGGATCTTTTGAGAAGTAAGAGGAACTTTCGCACATGAAGGAACTTGAAGAGAGGATGGAATTATGCCAATTAGGAAAAGTGCCACAAAAAGCTGTTGTAAAATAAAAATGTTCAACAAATGATGAGCTTTTTGTTTCCAAATTCACACTCACTGATAGGTTCTTAGATTAACTTTTTAGAGTCATGCAGTTACTTAAATTGGTTCACGAAGAAGAAACACCGTGCTTAGCTGAGAACAGCTTTTAGTTTTTTCGGCTGCTCATTTTTAAGGTGCAGGCCGGAAGCTCGATTAACTGATTTTCGTTTTTGCTTGTTCTCCTCAGTTCATGAAGAATTCAATCTTAAACATCTCACTGTTTTATCTGTCCAAATTATGGCGCTGAATATTGCTTGAAAGTAATCGCCAAAGCTCAGTAATTTATACATTTTCCCTTTTTTCCTGATTTGTTTTCCCTTTGAGTGGGGAGGAGGACGGGGGACTTTCCCTTAAGAAATTCCACATCTAGCGTTAAAATTATCTGATTACGGTATCTTGGTCCACTTGAAATCGTAGGTAAGGCATGTACATTGGCTGCAGTGCTCTGCATGCACAATATACTGACAAATTTTCAAGACCTCATTCTAACTATTCTGACTGAATATGCTCGAATCTGATCCCACGAGGCGCTATATTTCGTCTTGAACACTGTAAAAGGGAACTGAAAGGCTTTGCTACCAATGCTATACAAGTCAAGGTTTGGAAAGGTTTGGAATGCCAAACTTCCCCTAAAAGACGCGCACGACCCTCTCCCCCCAGAATCGTTCACTTTTTGCCTTAGTACAATTTTAATGACTCTTAATCGAAAGGTTTTAAACAGTCGAGCTTATATATGATAGGATCTAGTGCAACAGATCTAACAGCGCTGGTACATCTTTGGGACATAAATCAGTTATGAATGACTGAATAACTTGGGACACAAATCACTTACTATATGCAAAAAAAAAAAACAAAAAAAAAATCACTTAATATCTGCGACAATAAAAAAGACTAAGGGAAAAAAAGGAAAATCACTTACCTCTTGCAATCGTGAGCCCATGTCTTCCCAAAATCTTCACAGTTGACTCTGCCTACGTCTAGGAGTGAGGCCAAATGTTGTTTGATATACTGTCACACGTTAAATAAGCAACACAAAAGCCAAGCCTCTTTTATACCATCAATTTGTGCTTACCTTTACAGTAAATTTTTTGGGTCCATTTCAAGAAACCTTTCACTTTCACACCTATATCTTGGGAATGTTCCATTGCAACAGTATCCATAAAGGAGATTTTGGTAAAATAAAAGGATAACAAAACTGCTAAACAGGTATTATACACACAAAAAAAGATCACTTTGGTTGAAAATAAGATTCTCTGCGGTTTTACTTCAGTCTCATTAGATCGGAAATTTAATTAATCCCTTCTGTAGGGCTTAGGAAATCTTATTATCCACTAAGTATTTTCTTAATATAAAAATGGGTTAAGTTTTGTTTGGAAATTTTAAAAGCCGATGGCCGCGCATGGATACATAGTTTCAGCAACAGTGCCATCCATGCCAGTGAAAACAACAGGAAGTGCGCATTTTGGTCAAACACATTTCAACTAGATGACGCAAACAAACTACCGCATCCTTTATCTTCGGCTGACAAGCAAGTCCGACTTTTCTCTCGAATTCAGCGCTAGCTGAGGGGTACAAGTTTATGTGCTGTTCACTGTTGTGTTGGAAAACCTTTTCGATCCAATCCTTTAGAGTAATGAGTGAATTAATACGGATAAACTTAACATTTTGTTCATTAACAGAGATTCAGTCTCATTGTTTGCGCTTCTTGACAAAGTGATTATCGTGAAAACGGAACAGAGAAAGAAAACACTTAATTAACACAAGGAATTTAATGAAGCTTTAAACAAATAACTTCCTACTACGACACAGTGAAATAACTGAACAAGCCTCTCCGGACTTAGGTAATTTCCTTTGGTTGTATCCTTCACCTTCGTTATCATCTCGAGGCTAGTATTTTAACTGTTCCATCCCATTCTAATCTCATTATATTAAGTCAAGGCGTTTCCCTAAATTCCGAGAACTTCATCTTACTGTCAAGCTCTTCTTCCGAAACCAGTAAGCTTATTCTCTTAACTGTTAGAATTAGATTTCTGAACGGTGAAATAACTGTTTTAACTCGTCTTACTTTTCTCCTTTTCATTGCCTATATTTCAGAACAATTTACGTTGTTATATATAATGTTATCAACCATATAACACCATCAAACGTTTCTGAATTAATCATTTGTTCTGCAGAAAAACACCACTATAACGCAATGTCCTCTTCGGTGGGCAATTTTTTTTTCTTAAGTGTTCGAGAACGGACCATACAATAAATTCATTTTTTAGAATTTGTGCAAATATCCGGAATAGTATTCTTATCAGCCACTGTTACCAAATTACAAATTTTGAAGAGGTAATAGATCATTAGCATTTTACTTCTAGAGGATAATCATGTTGACGAATATACTTTAATTGACATCCTTAGTAAATCATAACTTTTTCATATTAATTTTTTTTCATTTCTGTACATTGTTGGCTGTGTTTTCTATTTTATCCATTTCAAATTTATTACACTATTTGGTATTCGTGTATGTACTCTTTTAAAGCTTTAACCTTGTAATGTAATTTTTAAAAATTATTTTAGCTACCATGTTATTTTGCGGTTAGGGAATAGTGTATCCGTTATGTCGTTCACGTGGTTATAAGTTTGAACTTGACCTTATCCATGGATACATCTCAGATGATGTGTAAATATTTTATAATTGAAGGGGAAATTTTGGTGACTTAACTCTCTTGGGTGTCAAAGAAAAGAAGGGTATAATAATTCTGAGGTCAGTTAACTTGAAAGCTCTCCTAAATAAGTACTTTGGATCTAAAACGGATACATTAGTTGTTCGTTGCAGTCCCTGACACAAAACAACTGTTTTAATAAAGTGAAAACAACTTAACGCGTGAAATAAGCATTTTGGCAGGGTATTTCGCTTTCTGGGCGACTTAAATTGTCGTTTCTTACCTCCTTTGAGGAAATAACGTCATTGTTAATGCTTCTTGAAGACTATCTCAGTGATAATCATCTCAACCCTCCGAAATAATCACGTTTAGAGTCTAAACTTCTCGCCAAGGTCAATCATCATATACGAGGGAGTTATCCCGCGTATAACGAACGTTTCTTCTCTAAATAGCTGGAGGGGCGCACGCAAGTAAAACTATCTGGGGGTTTCTGAAAACCTGTGAAAAATTTGAAAATTTGATCTAAGGAGCGGGATTACAATTATTGAAATAGAAAAGTATCTAAGTTGTGTGTGAAATCATATAACTGAAGGGTGAAGGATGTTTGACATCTCTTGTTACATTCGTTGAAGCAAGGTCACTTTAGACCAAAACTGTTTCATTTCCAAGTCATGTGGAGTTTTCTGTTGTTGATTATTATGGTATCACACTACAAACTATAATGATCTGAGGTTTTATATCTATCAACAAAGAAGTAAAGGCGATCAGGGCTTTTTGTGAATCTGTTGTGGGAATCTGTAAGGCCCCGGTTGTTCAACTTGGAGGGTAGGTAACGCTATACACTGAATAACTCAGCTCTATCCAAAGGATACTGCAGTACGTTTTGTTAACACTCAACCGCTGGATAGCGATTCATCCGTCGGATAGTTTTATCCGCCCTTTATACAACTGGGCCCAGTTGTGTTAATCAATCAGGTTGTATATAGCTAATTTTTCGCATTAAACGGTTATTTTTGCCAAGAACGGAACTGCAGTTGCCTTGGGAATAATAGCCTCATGCATTGATAAATCGGAGTTTGTTTCAAGGCTCTGGCCTAAATCACGTGCTCTAGCTCTAGCTCTAGCTCAGAGACTGAGGAAATTAGTTAGACATTGTACAGTCAAATAAAATTTTCTGATATCTCACTTTGTGTAACAATTGTTTTGCCTGTGTCGTATCGCAGTTTCAAGTGTTTGTTTTTTACCTCTAATTTTCACGGAAGAGCAACCGATACATGGAAGCTGAAGTTAAAAATAATCTTTACGTGACTTTGTCCACCTATAGAAGAATACGTGACAGTAGATCTGAAAGTAAATGCTCACGGACGAATACTTCTGGCATCAGGGTTCGTGAGAATCTACTTTCGATCGTCGTCCTCGTATTTACAAAACATTCTCAGGCATTAGATCTTTGTAACTCTATTTTCTTTAGAGGCTTTTCAGCCATCTTAGACTTTAATATATTGAAGTATTATTCAGTTCATCATTTAATAAGTCTAACCTCCCCTCCAACTGGATTTAACGACCCTCACTGATGCATTGCGCATTTTTCATTCTTGAGCGCACGGAATCAAAATGGCCAGGGCTTGCTGGAGGAAGAGTCGTCATTTTTCCTCCTGATTTAACTGCAATTTTATTGTAGCAATTTCATACCTGCACACTGAATTTAGAGCGAATCCCATGGCAGAATAAAAAACAATTGTTAATTTGTTGATAACGTTTACGGCAACGGGAAAAGAGAAATTTGAACTCTGGCTTTGCTTGTTCTTCCTGCTATAATCATTTAAATAAACTAGCGAAAAAAAAAATACAAAATTCTCAAGCGCTGAAATCTAATACGAATATTTTTTCGTAACTAAGTCTACCAAAGGCTTAAAAACAAAGAGAAGTTCAAGTTTTGTTGTTTACCGTGCAAAATGCTATTAAAACGAAAGTAAGGACCTTGCGTGGTACATTCAAAATTTTTATCGCTCTTACATTTTTTTAAAGTTTTAATGCGTGGATTTGGATTGTTTTCTCAGTTTCAATGCTATCTGCATATCGTTAGGTATATTTAGCTCTAATTTTATTGGTTTATAATTAGTCTTTTCATGTCATTAGATTGACTTTATAGTTTGTCAGACAATTTCTAACATCCTTGAACTCTGACGGATATCGAAACATGTTTTCTAAATATTCATATTTAATTGGAAATGTCAAATATTGACAGTATACAAGGCCGGCCTTAAACCTTGAGAACAGCACTCGTCGCCAAAGTCGTTTTTCTTCAGCTTTAGAGAACGTTATTGGAGAGATCGACATCATAAGGTTAAAAATGGTTTCCTCTTTCTAACTAGTAAGTATGCTCCCTTATAATGGAGAGTTATAGTCATGTGTAAAGACCAATACGTTAATTCTATTCTTGAGCTTTTTAATTTCTTTACGCTTTCTTGTTGTTGATATGGCGTCATATCCCTTTACAAAAGCGGAAATACATGACATAAATTAAAACTCCGAATAGAAACTGTAAGAAAAAGATAATTAAGAACTATTCACCAAAGTAGAGGTCGCTACTGGTGGATATTTACTGAGCTGCGAAGCGCCAAAAAAAAGGTGAAGAGTTGTTTTATTATAAATTAAAACAAAGAGATAAAAGAGCACAAAAATATGATTATAATTCATTTATTCTTGCAACAATTACAATAAATTTGGATGCAAATCCTGCGCGAGTTGCTCGTGAGTGAATAGCAGTGGATATTCAGAGTTTGAGAAGCCAATCAGAGCGCGTCATCTCTGTTATAGTTTTGAATGAATCCAGAAAAGTTTCACATTTGACCACAGTTTCGGAAGATTTCAGTTAGAGTAAATTGTAATCTTATTTTCATTCCACTACCTTATTTTTTCTTGTTGAAGCTTTTTATCCCGATTGCACTATCGGGGATAATAACACCATCTCTTCAACTTCCTTCATGTCGAAAAGTTTTTCTACCGCCTCGAAAAACACTCAAACGTCTCCGCCAAAATTTCATATTCGTCGAGACAACATTCTTTGGAACGCCAAGGCAAAGAACTCGCGACGTTGGTGCACAGCGGTCAGGAAACTCAATTTGTCCCTGGAGATGGGTCCACGATGACAACCCAAATCGTGTCCCTCGATTCCTGACTAAGGCCGTGTGTCCTAATTGTAAGCATTACTGCCACGCAATACGGTATTCCCACAGGGGCCTGGTGCAGAAGTGTGATGTCAGAACAGGGGAAGCAGTGTGGCAATGGACCGTGGTTGAACTTCCGGTGGCATTCATTTATGATCCCTAAATTGACAAAAAAAATTCAGGCAATGGAAAATAAGGCAGTTTTGGTGGAATAGTTCTTTTAAGGTTAAATTTTAAAAAGGAACTGGTTGTCTAAATGTTTGTAAATATTGTTATCAACGTCGATACGAAGAATTTTAACAGAGACATTTTGTACGCAAAATATAGATTACTTTTGAG